TCAGGCTGGTCTCAAACTCCTGACCTTGAGCGATCCGCCCACCTCGGCCTCCCAGAGTGCTAGGATTACAGGCATGAGCCACCGTGCCTGGCCTATAACTGGGTAATTTAAGCATAAAAGGAATTGATTAAAAATATATTGGACACTCATAGTATTTGCTGGAAGGTCATTGAACTTGGCTTAGAAAATGTTGAGGAAAAAGAGACAATTATTAGGCCTATGGTTATAATCAAGCCACAGACCATCCCAAGACAGATACTGCTACCACATCCACTGAGAAACAGTTATCCCACCTTCCACTGGCAGCGGACATGGAACTTCACTGCTGTTATTTGCTATCAAAATGGATTCTCTTCAATCTATGCTTCTTTAAGACCTGTCTGTGGATTCTGTGTTCAGCACTGGTGACTACTTTTTTCTTAATGCAGTCTCTTGGTTAGAAGTGAATTAGTAAGGCACTAGCCCACATTTCAAGAAGAGGAGAATTAAGTTACACTTCTTAGAGGAAGGTATATCAAAAGAATTTGTGATCATATGATAAAACTACCAGTTCATTGGTTAAAACCAATAATTAATAAATATTTTAGAGGAGATACTTTGAGGCTATACCCTGTTTCTCCTTTAAATTTCATTGGCTAATTTTAGCTTCCATGGATAGATTGTCCTATAGCAATTTTTACTGTGGTATTTTAATGGTGATTTTTCTCTCTCTCTCATTCTTTCTGTATTTATTAATTAACATTCTGCAAGAAAAAGCTATTTTTCCCCCATCCCAGATCCAGTCAAGGATTATTCATTGTATTGGTTGTCAGTGTCTTTTATGTCCCTTTTAATCAAGAACTGTCCTTTTTTGCTGTTGTTAAGGACAGTGATTTTTTGAGGAGATCAAGTTGTCTTATAGACTTTCCCATATCTCGATTTACATAATTGTTTTATATGCCCAATATCCTATAAACTTAAATCTAATTTTAGGCTTGATTAGTTACAAGCTTGACTTTTTAGATGTGTATACTTCATAGGTGAAACTGTGTAATTCATACTATGTACACAATGTCTTATTGCACTTCTATAAAATGATTTAAAGTTTGTTCACTGGGTCATAGTGTTAACAGCCAAAGCTCTCATTTTTGAGGTAGAGTTTTCCCTTTGCAATTAGTTCAGTAATCTATGTGATAACTTTGACAGCCTGTGAATATCTGTTTTCACACTAACCTTTCACCTAATGGTTTTAGCATAAATAATCCTTGCAGGAATCAGTTACTTCATTAGGGCTTATACATTATTAAATTAATACCATCTTTCTCCATTTATTAACTAGCACTTCTATAAAGGAGAGCTTTTCCTTAGTAACTGCAGCTATTAGATTACATAGTTCTGAAGTTCCTACTCAAAAGACAGGATAAATACTTAATTCTTTCCCTTTAATTACTGATTTTCAGAATAAGTACTTGGGGTGATAAAAACCCCAATACTGGTAAATTGTTGGATAAATATTACTGTTACTGTTACTTTCCCTTCTTTTGAGTACCGTCATTCTACCTGATCTTTAAATGTTGTCTGTTGTTCCTTAAGACTCAGCACTTCTCCATTTGATATCTTAACCTATTCCAGTGGCTTTGTGTTAAGCACTCAATATGTGTTTGCTGAATGGTAGATGGAAAGAAATTGAATCCATAGTTTGTGAACATGTATAGATGTTTATTTTTCTGGGGTGAGAGTGCATACCTCTCATCCAGTTCTCTGAAAGGTACCTGGCAGAAGAATGAGGCAATCTACTGTTCTTGGGAGACTGACTATATTTTCTGATTTCAGAAATAAATCTCTACCTCTATAACATGCCTAGGGGTAACCTCATTTTAAAATCTCATTTTGAAAATTTATTTATAAACCCTTTAAATAAAGATCATCCCAGCTGGGCTTGATGGCTCATGCCTGTAATCCCTACAGCTCGGAGGCTAAAGCGGGAGGATCGCTTGAGCCCAGGAGTTCAAGACCAGCCTGGACAATGTACTGAGACCCCATTTTTAAAAAAAGATCATCCCAATCTTGTGGTCTTGTAATGCATTATTTATATTAATTAAGCTTATTAATCACCAAGTCATATTATTTGGAATCTTCCTATTCCCTTTCACCCCTCTTCCACTGATCAGTGATATTCAGTGAAAGGTTTCCCATCCCTTCGTACACATCCACAGCACCTAATAAATGATTTTACTCATGACTTTCAAAAATTTATTCGTTGTGTAAGTTGGACAATGTTATCAGAATCATGTGAATTAAAAATTGGGGGAGGCCAGGTGCCATGGCTCACGCCTGTTAATCCTAGCACTCTGGGAGGCCGAGGCAGGTGGATCGTTTGAGCTCAGGAGTTCAAGGTAACAGCTACATTTGTG